AAGATTGCAGATGCGGCTTCCTTGGTGACATTCATCAAAAGTTGGGCAGATAGTAGTAGAGTGGAAACGGATTCCAGTCACTTGTTTTCCCCAGAATTCACTCTAGTGTCGTCTCTCTTCCCTCCTGTGAAGTTCTCGATCGATGCGACGACGAAAACAGATATCAATTGTACAAGAAGAAGGTTGTCTTCCATAGCTCAAAGATAGCTGAACTCAAGTCCAAAGCTGCCAATGAAAGCCTCCTGCAAACATCTCATGTTGAAGCTGTGACTGCGCTCTTGTGGAAGTGTGTGTTGAAAATCCTGCACGGGGTTCAACACAAGACTTGCATCCAACTTAAAATCAATTGGCAATAGGTGAAGTAGCCTTCCTTGTATTTAACTCACAAACTTCATATTTTTATACTCGATGTGAGATATTTTCACTTTAACATGCCCCTCACGTGCAGACCCGTTATGAATGTCGGGTTCTGTCACGTGGGTTAACACGCCTCCTTAAATACAAACTCGGTATCTTCAACTTCGAGTCTTGTCAGGTGAGCTAACAACAGGTTTCCAATAGCAAAACTTGGCTTTAATACCATGTTGAAAATCCTGTATGTGAGCTCAATACAAAACTTGCATCTAACCTAAAACCAATTGTCAATAGGTGTAGTAGTTCTTTTTATATTTAACCCACAAACTTCTTATTTTATACTCGATGTGAGATTTTCCTATTTAAAAGTATGCAATGGCAGCATCAATATCGAACAGTAAGTCTCTAAAACCATCTCCACTTTTGCAGGCTATCAACCTACGAAAGAGGATGGCACTACCCTTGATTGAGGACTCAATGGGGAACCTTGTTGCAAGCTTTGCTGCACAAACTGAAACCGGGGACATTTCCCTGCCAATCTTAGTCAATGAACTTCGTAGGAAGAAAGAAGAATTCTGCCAAAAGTTAGCCGAAATTAGAGAGGACAATCCAGCTTCTGGCCTTTTTAGGTGTACCAAAGATGCAAGGGACCTTTATAACAAAAGGAATGAGATCAACATCTACATGTCTAGTAGCTGGTGCAAATTCCCACTATATGAAGCTAATTTTGGGTGGGGGAAGCCAAGTTGGGTTGTTCCTGTTCCACTACATCTTGTTAAAAACTTGATTATATTGATGGATACAAAAGATGGTGAGGGTATAGAAGCATGGGTGATCCTGAGTGAAGAAGAGATGGCGTACGTTCTTTGAACATAATGAGGACCTGCTCGCATTTGCTTCTTTGAATCCAAGTGTCTCTGATTAACCTTTTGTCTACATTTATCTATCAGTATCTATTTTTATGTTTGTATATTATAAAAATAACAAATATCAATAATCAAATAATCAATCTAGCTAGAAACGTATAATTTTAGCCGCTTCCATTATATTGTGTAATGAAACTATAATTTTGTGATTATATATGTATAATTTTATTATATATATATTACTCTATCATTTATGTTTTATGCATTTTTAATAATATTATAAAATTATCAAACTAGAAAATAGATTAATTTTTTTAATTTTATAGAAAAATAACGGTGTCAAATAAATATAAAAGATCAACATAAAATATTAAATATTGATTATTAACGTATTATTTGACACCAACATGCAGTATTAAATATTATCTAACAATCAATACCTACTTATTTGTGTTAACTATATACATTTATTCAACATCACGTTGCGGTGTCAAAAATCATTTATATGTACGTATATATACACACTTTTTTTTTTTACGGTAAATGTTTTTTGCTACATCAAAAACTATTTAACGCAAATTTATTTGAGAGCGATATTTAATCACGCTTAAAAGGTATCTATTAGTTTTTTAACTGTACACTTTGATTATTTGACACCACATATGCGATGTCAAATAACTATTTTTCTAATATTTAGATTACCAAAGTTTTGAATAAAGCTAAGCACTTATTTAGTATAACAATTAAAATTTAATAAATAGTGGATAGTAAACCGTAGGTGATGATTAGTAAATAATGGATAATGGATAATAAAAAATAGATAACAAAAAATAGATTGCAAAAAATAGATTACAAATTGATATAATTATTTTGTTATA